ATGTCTAGAGCCTCTTTGCCCCTCACTTATTTTGTTAAAATGCTATTCTCATTTATTTTTCATCTTTCCCTCTTGGTGTGCATTAGTTACTATGGAAACATCAGGACATCAGAGTTTGAGTATCTCAACATTCCCAAGTTCTATTAGAGTATGAAAGCAATCTCTATCATAGTATTGGGGGAGGGAGTTACTGCCTTTATAAATGAATGCAGGACAAAAAAATCATATTACCAGACAAGCACGGGCTTTATTCAGACAACACAAGATAATGGTTAGGCATCATCTTACCTGTCCATACTATGTACCAAGACCTAGTAGGAGGTGGAGAGAGGTTCATTTGCATGTACTATACATCTCCATCAAAATGTCTCACACATTCTTAAAATTGAACCCCCATTCTTATTAGCAAAGGCTTTTCAAGGTACCCTAGAAATTATGTATGTGTACATGTACATAAAACTTAAGGCAATTGCCTCATACAATTATGGACTCTGATAAGTCCTGTTATACAGCATCTGCAAACTGGGGACCCAAGAGGACCAAAGCATAGTTCCAATCCAACTCCCATGTCTCAAGACCAGGAGAACCAATGGTATATATTCCATTCTGGGGTCTGGAGAGATGACTCAGCGGTTAAGAGCACTTGTCACTGTTTCAGACAACCCCAGTTCCATTCCCAGCATCCATATGGTGTCTTACAATCATCCGTGATTCCAGTTTCAGGGTCCAACCCTCTCATCTAGTCCCCAAAGGAACCATGCATACACGTGTTACACAAACATATACACAGGTTAAACACCCATATACATGAAACAAAACTGAATAAATACAAGAAAATGCTAATCCCATTCCAAGTTCAATAGACCAGTGTCACAACTTGAGAACAAACAGAGGAAAATGAATTCTCTTTTCCTCCAACTTTTGTTTTCTTAGACCTCTAGCAGATTGGACGTGGCTTACCCTCACTGAGAATGGCCACTAGTTTCACTCAATCCATTTTATTCTAATCAACTTCAAATATTAATTCTATCCAAAACCTTTCACAGTCACACCCAGAATAAAATTAAGCCAAAACCCTGAGCACTTTGAGTTCCAATCAAGTTGGCATGTACAATTGACCACCTTACCATCTTCCCTATTCACCCGGCTACTACAGTCTTTCCTCAGTTATCATCCTGTAGCAATTCAATCACTCAATCTAAAACCCTCCATATTCACAATATGCAGTCAGTAACTATGCTGTGCAAAACATACCTCTGAACAAATTTTTCAGCTGTCTTAGGGTTTCCATAGCTGTGACCAAACACCATGACCAAAAAGCAAGTTGGAAAGGAAAGAGTTTATCTGGCTTACACTTTCAGTTTACTATTCATTATTGAAGAAAGTCAGGAAAGGAACACAAACAGGTCAGGATCTCGGAGGCAGGAGCTGATGCAGAGGCCGTGAAGGAGTACTGTTCACTGTGTTACTCCTCATGGCTTGCGCAACCTACTTTCATATAGAATTCAGGACTACCAGCCCAGGGATGATACCACCCACTATGGGCTGGGCCCTCCCCAATTGGTCATTAATCAAGAGAATGCCTCACAGCTAGATTTCATGGAGGCATTTCCTCAACTGAGATTCCTTCCTCTCTGATGATTCTAGCTTATGTCAAATTGATACACAAAACCCAGCCAGTATAATCTGTATTTCTTCTATTGTTTCTGTCATTTGTTTGTTCGAGACAGGATCTCTCTGTGTTGCCCTGTCTGTCCTGGAACTCACTCTATAGGCCAGGCTGGCCTTGAACTCAGAAATCCACCTTCCTCTGTCTCCCGAGTGTTGCAATTAAAGGCATAAAACACAGTCTGGCAATCTGCATTTCTTTTTAAACACCATCTATTAAATAATACTGTGGGATCTGATGGTTAAGCTCTCTTGCAGCACTCCTACCTCTAATCTGCCCTTTTCCCTTGCCAATATATTTATTATTTTAATTTCTTCTAATGGTTATCTTTTTATTTTAAATCATGTGTATAAACTTACGTTTTAGCCAGGCAGTAGTGGTGCACACCTTTAGTCCCAGAACTTGGGAGGCAGAGGCAAGTAGATCTCTGTGAGTTGAAGGCCAGCCTGGTCTACAAAACTACACAGAGAAACCCCATCTCAAAATAAATAAATAAATAAAAATAAAATAACTCTAACCATAAAAAAGTATCTTGTGTTTTTTATTTGGTTCACCATATGTCATCTCTCCTAACTTCCTATTTTACAACTTGAAATCATTAGTGTGCTGTTTTCTCCAACTTCCTCATCCTTGTCTCCAAACCGGTACCCATTTCTCCAATCTCTATTTTCACCCTTGTTCAAACCATCATTTTAACAAACCTTTTCCTTCCTTATTTCCATCCATACCATCTTCAAATTCTACACAAATCTCAAATCAATATAATTTCTTCATGGCATCATTAAATCACACAAGTTGGCTTGATAATCCAGAATCTTGTTCTGTAGCTGAATAAGTTAGGTCTTATTCACTAGCCTGCCATACTGTTCCTTGTACAGAAACAGAGATGCCATCAAAAATGTTCTGATATCCTTGTTTTTTTAATTGTTATGGCTCGATGAAGGAAAGCAGCTAGATTTGAAACATGTTCAATACCTTTTCTTTCAAGAATTAATGTATTTTTCTGAGCATGATAAACAGAAAAGACAACATCTGTCCTCATCTGAACCTTGCACATACTTTTTCACATGCACAATTTCAAATTTCAACAAGAGACTCATTATCTTCAATAATAATATTGATATGGAAGTAAATTTGCTTGGACCCCACCCTGTAATGGAAGCCTAGTGCAACACCACTAATAATATTCTGTGCATGGCCATAGATATCCAGTTTCTCTTTCCCTATCATTTGTCAAGCCAGAGCCTCTTCCTTCTCTTTTCAGTGAGACTGAGCCCTATATTGCTGTGATTCAAGATCCTCCAAAGGCATCCTTCCTCTGGGGCCCTTCACCATAACTGTGCACCCCTACAGAGTGGTGCCAATAGTTTCTGGAATACCCGTGGTGTGATTGCTAAGAATCTATTTTCATTCTCTCCATAGATGTGGCAAAAAAGCCACACTAATCATTTATGAGTATAAATCCATTTCTTCTGGCAAAGGCAGCCTTATTTCTGATCCCACAACCATCCCACAGAAAATAAATATAGAAGCTGAATGACCAGACATGGGGTGTTCACTTGTAATCTCAGAACCCAGGCAATTGAAGTGGGAGTTCTGGAATGTACAGTAAGACCTTGTTTCAAGAAAAAAAATGCTGGAAAGAACTTTCTTTTTTACTTGATCACACTGGAGTGCCTCCAAGATAGCGAAGAATTGACAAGCTGAAATTCTGGACAGGAGGGAAATGTAAAGCAAGAAATAGATGAGCCAGATAGAGATCTGGTTATATCTTTGCTTCTAAGCAATTTGCCAGTTTGAAATCTGTGGATGAAATGTTAAAAGCCTGTGAAGAGGTGGTGAAAAAATAACAGTGTCTGAGACTCTCAAAGATGTAATGGAACTTGCATGAAGAAAATAGAGTAGAGGACCCAAGAAGGAAGAGTAATCAGTAAATGCCACAAAAATCTCAGCCCATCCACTCCTACCCATTTGTACATTATCATTGGGATGAGAGTGAATGGGAGCTAGATCAGCCTTATAAAAACTAAAGCCCAGTCTCAATCTCTAATCTGATTAAGATGGCCATTTATCCTTGCCCTGTGTTCTTGCCAAAGGAAGAAAAACTAAATACCATCTAGAAGAAAAGAGTGTCAATCAGCAGCTCTTGTACATTTTCTATTGTGTTCTCCACTCAGTTACTAATAACGGGCCATACAAAACAACCATTAGCCAAAATCAAGAGAAAATGGACAATACGCACAGACTTAAAGAAGATTCAAGCCAGGAGGTAGCGGTGTATGCCTTTAATTCCAGCACTTGGGAGGCAGAGGCAGGCAGATCTCTGTGAGTTTGAGACCAACCTGGTCTACAGAGTGAGTTCCAGGACAGGCTCGAAAGCTACAGAGAAACCCTGTGTCGAAAAAAAAACTTGGAAAATAAAAAAGAAGATCAGCTATTAAAATTCTCCCTCATAGATTCTAAATAATTATAATTAACATATTTATGACATTAGGAGTACTTTCAGCAATGTATGATTGATTACATGCTGTATTAGTTACTTCCCTATTCCTGTGCTAAAACACCATGAACCTATAGAAGAAAAAAGTTATTTGGGTTGTGGTTCAAGAGGAATAAGTGTCTGTCATAGCAGGGAGTCATGGAAGCCAGGAGCAGATATGGTGGCTGGAGCAGATGCAGAGAGCTCACATCTTGAATTGCAAGTATAAAGCAGAGGAGGCAGGGAGAGCACTTGTGCACAGGGAATGGCGTGAAGCTTTAAAACCTCAAAGCCCACCCTAAGTGACGTACTTCCCCCAGCAAGTCCACAGCTCCTCAAACAGCGCCATCAACTGGGGACTATGCCTGAGCTTTTGGGGGACATTCATGTTCAAACCATCATGCATTCAGAAGGATTGTATTAAGGAACCAGGTTTCTTACTGTTAATCCATTGAGAAGGCCTAATAGCAATGAAAATACTTGGCACCTAAATCTTTATCTATAAATAACATACCCCCCCCCCCAAGGAACTAAGAATCTTTATTGAAAACACTAATTCCTGAAACCCAGGAGGCTGGCTCCAAACTCAAGCACAGATCCTGCCCCGGCCTCCTGAGTTGCTGAGATTACAGGAGTGAGCCACCACACCTGGCTGAAAACACTAAATGGGCTTGGAACTTCTTTTTGTCCCTAAAAATAATTGTGCAAAGAACTATGAGAACATGTTAAAAAGACACAGGAGTCAGCTTAAAAGGGTTCCCTCTAGTAAATTCGAACATCACAATAAAAGACTGAAAAATATTAAAAAGAAGTAGAACGTATGAGTCCACGTTGTCATGAATGAATGATGAGACACTTACCTACAGGGGAAATACCATAATTATGAGGGTTATTTTCTGGGGATGAAACTCATCTGTTTTACTCTGGGCATGCTGTCTCCTGTGATTCTTCAAATGTGGAAAACTTGACTGTATAATTTGTGGTAGTGGGAAAATATGCCCATGCTTTCCCCAAAAATAAAAACAGTAGGTTTTATGAGTATATGCACGTGTGTGTGTGTGTGTGTGTGTGTGTGTGGTAGTTACTCATTACCTGAAGAAATGATTGATAGACAAACACAGACAGAGTCTGTGCCAAATACTTAATGTTGACAAAGACAAGAAAGTAACTTTACAGTAGAGAAAATCCAGAAAATGTCACCTTAATCAGATGAACAAAGAGAAAATTAGCAATAATAAAACACAGTGGACTGGAGAAATGGCTCGGCAGTTAAGAGCACTTGCACTTGCTTTTCTTGCAGAGGACCTGAGTTCAGTTCCAAGCATCCACATCAGGTGACTCACAATGGCCTGACTCCAGCTCCATGGGATCTAACACCTCTGGCCTCTAAGGGACTTATTCCAACACAAACAAATGCAACTACACATAATTTTAAGAATAATAAAAGTAAGTCTTAAAAAGTAATAAAACAGTAAATAACAACATGCCCCCTGGTAAGATGTCATGAAAGAAGAAAGCGTTATTTCTTTGGAGGTAATGCTCAAATTTCACAGCTAAAATATAATCAGGAGGAAATGTCAGAAAGACCCAAGTGAAGGAGCATTTCACAAAATAATTAGACTATTATCTTCAAGTGTTGAAAATTGAAAGACACTGAGTAGACATTGAAACAAAATGGAGCACTTGGTTCTGAATTGGATTCTCTGGCTTAAGGACACTACTGAAAAACTGACAAAACCTGAGTGGGATAGTAGCGATACCAAAGTTATAATCTAATGTTGATGGTTGTGTTACAGCTTTATAACAGAGCATTCTTGTATTTTAGAAAATACACATAGAAATGTCCAGAAAGAAGAGGGGATGGGTGGGTGGTATTCTTTGTACTGTGCTTAAAACTCTTCTGTAGGTAGATGGACATGGATCTATCTGCAGTCTTCTACATGTCGACATCCATTTATGCCAGCACTGTTTGTTGAAGATGCTTTCTTTTCTCCCGTTGTACAATTTTGACTTCTTTTTAAAAAATCAGGTGTTCATAGGTATGTGGATTAATATCAGGGTCTTCAATTAGATTCTGTTGGTCCACCTGTCTGTTTTTATGCCAATATCATGCTGTTTTCATTGCTATTGCTCTGTAGTTAAGCTTGAAGTCAGGGATGGTGATGCTCCCCCCCCATTATCATTTATTGTACAGGATTGTTTTAGCTATCCTGGGTTTTTTTGTTTTTCCATATGAAGTTGAGTATTTTTCTTTCGAGGTCTGTGAGGAATTGTGCTGGGATTTTGATGGGCATTGCATTGAATCTGTAGATTGCCTTCGGTAGGGTTGCCATTTTTACTATGTTGATCCTACCTATCTAAGAGCATGGGAGATCTTTCCATTTCCTGATATCTTCTTTAATTTCTTTCTTTAAAAACTTAAAGTTCTTGTCATACAGGTCCTTCACTTGTTTGGTTAGAGTTACCCCAAGATATTTTATGTTATTTTTGGATATTGTAAAGGGTGATGTTTCTCTGATTTCTTTCTCAGATCGTTTATCCTTTGTATATAGGAGTAATACTTTTTTTTCAATTAATCTTGTATCCTGACACATTACTGAAGGTGTTCATTATCAGTTGTAGGAGTTCCCTGGTAGAATTTTTGGGACTACTTACGTAAACTATCATATCATCAGCAAATATCGAGAATTTGACTTCTTTTCCAAATTGTATCCCCTTGATCTCCTTTTGTTGTCCTATTGCTCTAGCTAGAACTTCAAGTACTATACTGAATAGATATGGAGAAAGTGGACAACCTTGTCTTGTTCCTGATTTTAAAGGTATCACATTGAGTTTCTCTCCATTTAATTTGATGTTGGCTGTTGGCTTGCTATTGCCTTTATTATGTTTAGGTATGTTCCTTGTATCCCTATTCTCTCCAAGACTTTTATCATGAAGGGGTGTTGAATTCTGTCAAAGGCTTTTTCATCATCTAATGAAATTATCATGTGTTTTTTCTTTCAGTTTGTTTATATAGTGGATTACATTGACAGATTTTTGTATGTTGAACCATTCTTGCATCTCTGGGATGAATCCAGCTTGGTCATGGTGGATGATTTTTCTGATGTTTTCTTGGATTCGGTTTGGAAGTATTTTATTGAGTATTTTTGCATCAATGTTCATTAGGAAATTTGTTCTGTAATTCTCTTTCTTAGTTGTGTCTTGGGTATCAGGATAACTGTAGCCTCGTAAAAAGACTTTGGCAAGGTTCCTTCTGTTTCTATTGTGTGAAATAATTTGAGGAGTATTAGTATTAGTTCTTTTTTGAATATCTGGTAGAATTCATTTCTGTATACATTTAGAAACAGATTGACAGTGTATTTTTTTGTAAAACTAACTGGAATTTTAATAGTGATTTTATGTAATTTACATATCACTTTGGTGTAAATTGCTGTTTGCCAAGCTGTTTTTCAATTCATGTACCTGGAATTCTCTCCATTTCTGTAGATCTTTAATCTCCTTAAGTATTGCTTCATTCTATTTACATTTCTTATTTATTTGTGTCTATGTGTTTGGGTGTGGGCATGTCAGAGGACAACTTTCATGATCCAGTTATCTGTTACACCATGTGTGTCGAAAGGATGGAACTCAGATCATCAGGATTGGTAGCAAGTGTCTTTACCCGCTAAGGCATCTCATGGCCCTCATGGCTTTCGTGTACAGGTCTACATTATTTTTTTTACTAAATTTATCTTAAAACATTTAATTTGTTTTGTTATTATTGTGAGCAGAGTTATCTTTCAAATTTATTTTTACATTTTGTTGCTATTCTATAGAAATAAATTCATTTTTATATTTACCTTTCCCCACACATCTTTCTTTTTAAAGTAATTTCTGGATTTCTTACATCAATAATCATTACCTAGAAATAAAGTTGGGTTGACTCCTTTCTTTCCAATCTGAGTGGTTTTTATTTCTTTTTCTACTCTGGATACACTGGCTTAGAATCCATAGTACATGATGCTGAAGAGATGGCTCATGTTTAGGAGTACTTGCTGCTTTTGCAGAGTAGCCGTTTGATTCCCAACACCCACATCAGCAGCCCCACAACTGTCTATAACTCCAGCTACAGGGGATCTGATGCCTTCTTCTGGCGTCCATGGGCAGTGCCTTGGTTATCCTGGAACTCATTCTCTAGACCAGGCTGACCTTGAACTCACAGAGATCACCTGCCTCTGCCTCTCAATTGCTGAGATTAAAGGTGTGTGTCACCACCACCCAGCAATAAATTTCTTTAAAAACTACATACAGACCAGGCGGTGGTGGTGCACGCCTTTAATCCCAGCACTCAGGAGGCAGAGGCAGGCAGATCTCTGTGAGTTCGAGGCCAGCCTGGTCTACAGAGTAAGTTCCAGTACAGCCTCCAAAACAATACAGAGAAACCCTGTCTCAAAAACAACAACAACAACAACAACATACAGGACAAGTAGCAAGAATGCATAACATAAATTCATTTCCAGTCTTAGCTAAGAACACTCACTTTCTCATCACATGCCTTTAATCCCAGCACTTGAGAGGCAGACAGAGGCAGCTAAGGCTGTTACACAGAAAAACTCTGTCTCAAAAAAGAGAGAAGAAGAGGAGGAGGAGGAGGAGGAGGAGGAGGAGGAGGAAGAGGAAGAGGAGGAAGAGGAAGAGGAAGAGGAAGAAGAGCAGACTGGGCATGGAGGCACAGACCTTTAATCCCAGTATTTGGGAGGCAGATACAGGTGGACCTTGGTGAGCTCAAGGCTAACCTTGTCTACAAAGTGAGTTCCAGCCAAGGTTACACAGCGAGACCCTGTTTCATAAGAATAATAACAAAAAAACAGGCAAAAAAACAAAAAAATACGAGGAGACCTAATAAGCAACCTTAAATTATTTCAGGATAAGCCAGGCATAGAGCCACACACCTTTAATTAAAGCACTCAGAGGACAAAGGCAAATAGATTCCTGTGAGGTTAACACAAGTTAGTCTATATAATGAATTCCAGACCAGACAGAGCTATACAAGAGCCTGCCTCAGAGAGCAGGTGGGATTGCAGGATAAAAGATCAATATGCAAATGAAAATTTTATTCTATTTGTAATAACAGCAAACAACTGGAAATGTAAAATTTTAAAGCAATACAATTTAAAACAGTGTAAAAATAATAAAATGCAAACAAATCTACAAGACCTGAAAGAGTAGTGCAATTAAAGAAGACCTAAATAAATATAGGTCAATTCGTGGTTCAGGTAACTTGATATTGTTTAATAGAAATTGTGCCCAGGCTAGATAGAGCTACACAATGAGACCCCATATAAAAAACAAAAGAAGAACTTGCATCCAAATTGATCTAGAAATTCAATAGAATAATGATGAAAACCCCAAAAATCTTTCTTTTAAAACCTGTATTTAAATGCAAAAGCATGACTAGCAAAATAATGGAAAAGCACAACAAAATCAAAGCTACTGGTTTCTAATAGTATTCTGTTACACGAAGGAAAGAGCCGGACATCCTAACAAAAATGCTAATTTTAGGACGGGAACAGGAAATATACAAGCTCTTATAACATTTTGTGGTGCCAGAAAGTAAGGAAGTGCCCAAACAAACCAAGTAAGACCACTTTGATGAGAGTTCCTGTCTCAAAGATACACAAGAACAAATGGGAAGCATTCCTAATGATCAAAGGCAAAATAACTTCAGCAACAAAATAATGCAGTGTTGGACATAAAATAAATATTTATGAGTCCACAGTTAAAAATTAATAACCAAATAACTTAAGAGGAGGAACAAAATCTCACTTTTTTGAAGAATCCTAAATAGTTTATATTGCTAGTCAATCCTCAAAAAGAGGTAGCATTACTGCCCATTCCTTGAGTATGGACTATACAGACAGATGTCCTTCCAAACAGCACAGTAGGAAAAACAAGGGGAAAGAGTCAATTAACAGCAGACAAAATTTGACAAAGTACTACCCAAGCCAGTGGTGAAAAGTCAAGCTGATAACT